CAAAAGAATTAAATGTAGTAATAGACATGACAGGGGACCTTAGCACAAAGCATGCATTCATCAGATTTCAATCATTATTCAGTTATTCATATATGTATTCTGAACTTGAGAGTATACCTGCTACATTTTGTCTGGACAACAGAATGATTGTGCTCTTGACAAGGATATTTCTCAACTATGCTCATGTGAATTCACTTCATAGGACAGATGAGAATGTGCTTTGATACACTATCACCACAAATTGATTCCTATTACTAAAATTACTTATTGTCTTATGTTTCCAAGTAAAGATTAGACAAACATACTGATATATACCCATGGGGATAATTCCTAAGGAATGTGGAAATTAGGAACAATTGAATCTCTCAGCTGAAATTATGTGGCCTGAAATTTTCAAGAATTATATATTCTAGAGCACTGATATATACCTTGAATTCCAAAAGAAGTACCCAAAAGATAGAGTAAATATATAAACACTGCATTTGTGTATATTGTGTACGTGAGTCAAAATAAACATATAGTTTGAAATGTGTATCATTCAGAGGATGGAGCCTCAGTGCAACTCAGTGTCAAGCCTACTAAATCTTTATGAAGTTAGCCCAAATTGAAAAGGTTTATTGTAAAACAAACTATTATTTGTGGTTCAAAACCAGCCTAAGGCCTGATTTCAAGAATGAAGTTTTCACAGAATACAGCCACTTGTATTCATTTCCATGCTCTCTGTGACTCTTTTTATTTCACAATGGCAGAAGTTGAATAGTTATGAGGGAGACCATATGGCCTGCAAAGTTAAGATATTTACAGTCTGGCCTTTTACATAAAATTTGCCAATTGTTGGCATACAGAGTTGCAGAGAATTAGAGCCCTCAGATTGAAGACATGAGTTTTATCTTTTGCTACACAAACTGATATTCAATTGAACCATTTTCAAAATGTCTATTTACATTAATTTCAGAAAACTTATACTATAGAGAACTTCATCAACAAAGGTAATAATGAAAGACTTTTGCAATTTAATTTCTTTTAATTTTCAGGAGACTTCATAGTAAAACCAGTAGGCAAGTACTATTTTTTAAAAACAAAACAGAATAAAATTCAACCATACAGTAGCAGAAAAAATCATTTTTAACACTTTAAAATAATGTCTCCTCACCCCCATCAATGCCTGAGGAGGATGGGAGAGCTTATTGTCTTATGTTTCCAAGTAAAGATTAGACAAACATACTGATATATACCCATGGGGATAATTCCTAAGGAATGTGGAAATTAGGAACAATTGAATCTCTCAGCTGAAATTATGTGGCCTGAAATTTTCAAGAATTATATATTCTAGAGCACTGATATATGCCTTGAATTTGAAAAGAATTACCCAAAAGATAGAGTAAATATATAAACACTGCATTTGTGTATATTGTGTACGTGAGTCAAAATAAACATATAGTTTGAAATGTGTATCATTCAGAGGAGGGAGCCTCAGTGCAACTCAGTGTCAAGCCTACTAAATCTTTATGAAGTTAGCCCAAATTGAAAAGGTTTATTGTAAAACAAACTATTATTTGTGGTTCAAAACCAGCCTAAGGCCTGATTTCAAGAATGAAGTTTTCACAGAATACAGCCACTTGTATTCATTTCCATGCTCTCTGTGACTCTTTTTATTTCACAATGGCAGAAGTTGAATAGTTATGAGGGAGACCATATGGCCTGCAAAGTTAAGATATTTACAGTCTGGCCTTTTACATAAAATTTGCCAATTGTTGGCATACAGAGTTGCAGAGAATTAGAGCCCTCAGATTGAAGACATGAGTTTTATCTTTTGCTACACAAACTGATATTCAATTGAACCATTTTCAAAATGTCTATTTACATTAATTTCAGAAAACTTATAGAGAACTTCATCAACAAAGGTAATAATGAAAGACTTTTGCAATTTAATTTCTTTTAATTTTCAGGAGACTTCATAGTAAAACCAGTAGGCAAGTATCTTAAGGACCCAGAGCAGCAGGATCTCCATGATACAGGGAAGCAACACGATGTCCAAGAAGAGATTCAGTGAGGGCCCAGCATCTATGGTATAGAAGAGATCAGGGGCCTTGAATCACTCCAATGATCCATTGCAATGAAAGCCAGCATGTAAAAATGCATGGATAAGAGGTGTATTGCATGGCTCACTGTGAAATTATGGATACACTGTTTCACACTGCAGCTTCCATGATGAGATTTTCCCTTTCTCCCCCTTTTTTTCATTGTTTTCTCTTAAATTTTATTTTGCTGTGTTCTGGGGCAGAGAAGATGGGTTGGATCTGGATGCATGATATGAAAGACACAAAGAATAAATAAAAATCAAGTTTTAAAGTAATGTATATATTTAAAAACAATGAAAGAAATAGAGCCCATGAATTTGAAAGAGAGCAAAAATATGCATGAAAGGGGCTGGAGGGAGAAAAGGGACCACAGAAAATAATGTAACTATGTTTTATGCTCAAAAAAGATAACAACATATACAAAATAAAATAAAAGCATCAGTTGGCCATGTTGGCTCATGTTTTAATATTTACAAACAAAAGACTGAGTCAGGAGGATTGGTGTGAGTTAAAGCCCAGCTAAGCTAAATTGTAGGTGCCAGGATGGACACCCTGGGATATGGACCAAGACTATCTAAGCAAAATAAAAGAATAATGAATGAACAAAGCAACAACTGTTTGAATTAAGACTTGTGAGTTAATAGACTTAGAGACATTATTTTAACAATAACTTGAGCAATACAATGTTAATGACAGTAAATATTTTCAAAATTACATTAACTATATCCAAAAATTTAAAAGCTAATTTCAATGTAATAATTTTATATGATATTAAAAATTAAGATAGCATTTAAGAGTAGCATTATTTTCTGTTTGGATAGACTTGGGAAATACATTTGGAAATAAAATATCCATTCCTGTCCCTTTATCTGAGCCACCTATTTCACATGAACCTGAACACCACTTGGAAAGTCAGAATTCTATGAGAAGAACTATTGATTTTTATCAACCTGGAAAGTGAAAGGAGAGAGAGAGAGAATGACATTGCTGGCCACAGGGAGTTCAGTTCAGGTCAACAACATCTAAGTTTTATGGGAATTGTTCAGAAATTACAAATGTTGCTGGGCTAAAGGACTCTGACATGGATCAAGAAAGCACATTTGACACTAGGTAGCATGCAGCCTCCATGCTGCTACTGTCACAGATATCCAGAGCATATTGCATACACCTGCTGCTATCACAGAGGGTCAAATGAGGCAGCTTTTTAGAATGACATTTGGGCATTTTGCAAGGTGGTGCAAAAATCCTCCTGTGGATTAATAACAATGCCTGAACCTGTGTCTGCTGCTCTATGCCTGTGTCTGCCACTCTGTGCTACTAAAGGCATGACAAGTCCCTAAAGGTGAAAATGTAAACCAGCAAAGCATGAGAAATAGCCCCAGACCATCTTTGAATTTTTGATTGCTATGTTTTTAGCAATCCTAATCTTCCTAAAGGAGCAATTTAACTACCATGGTGTTGTTTTGCTTCCTTTACAAGCTTATCTCTGCAACTGGTTGCACAGAAGTGACTGTTTAAACATAACATAGTATTTTATCATTTATACATTAGAAGTAGATGATGTTAAGGTTGATTATGATGGCGATGATGACAATTATAGTGGTGATGATGATAGTGATGATGGTGACAATGATGATGCTATGCTTTTCATCACTGTCCTTTACAAACCTACAACACAGGAAGGAACCATAGCAAAAAGTCTGGAAAAACTTTTTTGCTTCAGTGAATCTGTCAGTGTTGTTCAATCACAACCATTATTGTATCATCCATTTCATGGTCCACCATCCCATTCACCAAAAATGGTTTGTTTCTTAGAAACACACTCACCTTTCATACTGTAGTGAGTTAATATACAAAAAAACTACAGGTAATAACGACAAATATCTGTGTACTTAAAATGTTTTTCCCCATTTTAATGGTCAAGAAGATGAAATTATACAATTAATGAATTTGAGCAAAATAATAATTTCAATATTATGCATGATTAGTATGTCTAAAAAGTGATCAGAATTACCATGTGGGTCAGAATATTGTACCTGTTTACAATGTCAAGGGTAGCTAAAAATGATCACTAAAATTATGCTACAAAATTGCTTCATTTTGACTCTAAAACTACACTTCTCCATAAGATATCAATTTTAAAAGGACATTTTGCCACCAACTTTCAGAAGGATTATATGAAATTTACCTTCAGGCATAGGATTCTTGTGTCAAGGGATTATCTTCTCCATCGTTGTCACATATTTTATTCACAAGCATTTTGGTAAATTAAACAAATGGCTAATTAGAAAAACAAACACACAAACAAAACCAGTCTGAGATTCAGAGCTCCACTGCAATGTATATGGCAAACTTTGGGTGGAAAGTAAGGACAGACAGTAGCCTACAGAATACATCTAAATCTAAACTGCAAATGCACTTTGTCGCATAAATAATAACAAAAATGAAATATTGTTGTAGTGCTATATTAGTATTTACTGCAGGAATAAAGTGCTTCAGGCAGAGTAGCTTTACATAGAATAGAAGTCTATTTAGCTGAAAGTACAATGTAATACTGACTCTGACAAGGGCTCCCTGGTGTGTACTGGGAGTGTTTACAAGGAGCATAGCTCACTTACTTTTATAAACAGAAGACAGAGAGGATGAAGTGCTCACGTTTGGGTTTTTACATTAAGTAACTTTGGTATAGCTCTCTCTGGGGAGCAGTCACTTTCCTGAGGTCATACTCTCAATGACCTACAGGTATCTCATAAGTTTCTCCCCTTAAAGTCTATTGCAAGTGTCACATCCAACATTTCTAACCAGCCAGAACCCCCATTTCTTTTCCAGGATGTGGCCCAGTGGGTCTCCCTGATCTCCCTACCCACACTTTCTCAACCCACCAGATCTAGCCTATGCCACATATCTAGTATCCTGGACTAATCTGATCATCCCTGTCTACACTGCAATGAACATCTAGACTTCTTCCAGGTTATGTCCCACAACTATGGGTATCTTTTGCATCACAGCCAGTCTCACCACCCAGACAGATCATCCATATCCTTCTTACCCATACAACCTGTCACCAACCCCAGATCCTTTCTGGATTTCAGCCATACTTCCCACCAGCCATAGAGCCCAAGTCTTTCTCCAATGTATAACACAGTGAGGTTTCTCACCCTACCTATTTATGAACTCCCCATGACACAGCAGAGATAGCCCACACATCTAAAGTTTATAGCAATCTAGCCACCCTTGCCTGACCACAAATGATCTCTTGAGTTCATCCAGGAACCTCCCTTCCAATTCTCAATTGAAGGGCTTCTCTCATACCATATCACGCCATTCCATCCAGCAGGTCTACTTTTATACTCCAGGATTGGACCAGGATACAAATTGTATACACAATCCCAGACTCCTCTATCCACCTGAGTAAATTCCACCAATAAAAATATTTCTATCCTCTAGCCCCCCAACACAATCCTCTATTGTGCCTTAATCTGTTCTATACCTAAGACTTAGAACTAATGAAAGAAGTCAACAAGCCCAGATCTCATAAACAACACAAAAGATCAAGTCATCATCTCCTCTCTCAATACTACAAGTCCTTTGCAAATGTTTACCCATGATAAACAACTAGATGAACCCAGGACACAAAACTTAGAAGAAATAGCTTAAAGAAAAAAAAAGACCCAAATGATGCCCCAAAAATACAAACATAAGGCTACTAGAAATAAAAAGGACAATCCAACACTAGAGGTCAGAATTCAGTATAAGGATATAGAAAAAACATTGAAGATGAATCAAACTGAAATAAAGACGGAATTGAAAAACCCAGTCAATCAGCTAGAAAACTCAAAGGAAAGTCTTACAAGTGGAATGAATCAAACAGAAAATAGGACATCAGGGTTCAAAGATAAAGGAGAGACAAAACCAAATAAGCAAATAATATGGAAAAAAACAGGAAAAGAAAATATGGGAAATGTGGCATACCATGAAAACAATAAAATTTACAAATTAAGGGCATAGATGAAAGAGAAAAATCCCACATCAATAACATAGACCAGATCTTCAACAAGAACATTTGTAAACTTTCCCAATTTGAGGAAAAACACACCTATATAGATAAAAAAGTGAACAGAACATCAAATAGACAGGAAATAAATCCATGTGGCATATCATAGTTAAAACACAAAGTATACATAACAAAGAAAATATATTGAAAAAGGAAGAGAAAAACTGCAAGCCACATACAAAGGAGAAGTCATCGGAACAACAGATGATTTCTCAACAGAAATATTGAAAGCCAGAAGAATGTGGAACAATGCATTCCAAGCCTTAAACTTAGTCTATGGCTAATAGACTAATAGATCCAGAAAAACTGTCTGATAACTATTGAAAGAGAAAGAAAAATATTCCATGCTATACATTGCCAACAAAACAAAACAAAAACAAAAATTTAGAAACAAATTAAACCAAAAGAGAATATAAGAAGCAATATTTAGGCCTGACAAGAGGAATAAGCATAGCAGAGAGTTTGTAGAAAGAAATCCATAGCCATAATTATTAAAACACAAGGCACCACCAAGGAAACAAATAACAATACTAAGACAACAATTAGCATAGGCTTCAATAATAACTTCAAATATCAAAATCCTCAATTGTTCAATGAAAAAACAATATCTGACTGAGTGGATCAAGAAATGTTCCTGCTCTCTGCAAAAAAACACATCATGACTTTAAAAATACATGCTGCCTTGTAGATAAAGAATGGATTAAAAACCTTCCAATAAAATGGGACCAGGAAGCAGGCAAGTGCTGCTTCCCTGGCATTTGGTAAATAGAGCTAAAAATAAAACTAATCAGAAGCGATAAAGAGGCCACTTTATTCTAACCAAGGGAGCTGTTAACCAAGAAGACAAATAATATTATAAACATATATGCACCAAACTTTGAAGTGCAGAATTTTAAAAGTAAAACATGTGTTATTATGTTTAAAGATACAGATTAACATCAAACCCATTAATAGTAGGTGGTTTCAATATTGTGGTTTCTCTAATGATCAGGCCATCTGGACAAGAAATAAACAGAGAAGAACCAAAATTAAAATTAATTGAAATGAACTTAGAAGATATCTATAGATTATTCCACCCAAACAAGAAAGAAGGCAGATTCTCCTCATCAGTGTGTAGAAATTTTGCTAAAATACAACACATTTAGTGACACAGGATAAATATTTAAATACAAAAATTAATCAAAAAGATTAAAACGACTCCTTATATCCTGTACAAACACAAAGAATTAAAATTTAAAATTTACAACAAAGAAACTTCTAGCAAATACATAAATTCACGGAAATTAAACAATAATGAGTGAATCAAAGAAAAAAAAAAACAAGAAAGAAATAAAAAAGTACTCCATATCCTGGAGCTCTTCATAGACCCTTCCTATATTTCTGAACCCCTGTTAAATTCAGTGGTCCTGACTGTTTAGTCAGTTGTGCACCAAGAGGGAAGCAGATGCTGCCATTCCCAGATGAACCCCTGTTAAATTCAGTGGTCCTGACTGTATCTGTTTAGTCAGTTGTGCACCAAGAGGGAAGCAGATGCTGCCATTCCCAGCCACACCTGCGGTCTCCGTGGGTGAGAGCAGCCCTGAGTTCAAACTGTGGCTGCAGCTGGAGCTGGAGTCGGAGCCGGAGCCGGAGGTGGAGCTGTTGCTTCTTCATCCACTACATCTTGTCTTGAGCGGAGTTCCTGGCTGGGTAAACAATCTCCACCCTTAGAAAAATACTTATGCTATAGGAAAATGTACCCCCCCCTTACTCTGGGAGAGGGGATAATTATCAGCCTGACCACATCCAGCCACATTTATCTTCGAGTAACCCAGAAGACGTCTTCTTCTCCTTTGTCTTTTTCATCTCTTCTCTAGGTTGCTCTTTCATTTCATGGAACCTCTTTAGATGCTGGTCTAAGTCACGGAGATCTGGAGAAGTCTGTCCTGCTTTATAAAGATCTTGGCCCATCAAAGCACTCAGTAAAGCTGCTAAAGCTCTCAACAGCTTTAAAGTCCCCACTGGCTCAGTTTTTCTATCGCCTCTGTGAACATCGTCCTATCTGGCCCAGTGAACTGAGTTCAAACAGCTTTCCTTATCCTAGTTCTCTCCCTCCTCTGTTCCCAAGCTTTTATGGGGAGCTCAAATGAAGATAGTCAAGCCATCCTAATGGGTTAAATAGCCCCTTCAGGAATTGATTTCCCTTATACAATCTCAGGTCACGGTCCTGTTGCCACAAGGAGAGATAAGAAGTTATATTAATGTGTTTTCTATCTCTACAGCAGTCAGACTGATCCCATCCACTCCCATGTCCCACAGACTCACAAAACTCACACCACTGCCACAGGCTCTTTCATTGTTTGAGTAAGGCTTCCCTAATTCGAGGAATTAGCTGAGTGTTTCCTGATGACCATAGTTTCTTGTTTAGGATCATTATTATGGTACCTTGAATCACATATTTTACTCTCTTTCTATTAAAGTTCAGACCTGAAGAATATCTGTCAGTCATCATTTTTTGTTTGTTTGTTTGTTTTCGAGACAGGGTTTCTCTGTGTAGCTTTGGAGCCTATACTGGCACTCGCTCTGGAGACCAGGCTGGCCTCGAACTCACAGAGATCTGCCTGCCTCTGCCTCCCGAGTGCTGGGATTAAAGGCATGCGACACCAACGCCAGGCTTGTCATTCATCATTTTTACCAGCTCTTTCCCATCCTCTCATACATCTAGTCTATTTGCCAAATCAGGGGCTAACAGGGGGAATACTACCTGCATTTCAATTTCCTGTGGTCATTGCTTCTTTTCATTAACAAGTTCCTACTTTATACAATCAAGTTCTTGCTTGACTGCCATATTGGCCTCAGATGCTACTTGTAGCTACACACAACTGTAGCCAGGAAATCTCTGCTGCTGTTTGTCGACTATGCTCTAACCCTTGAACTCTTCTGAGGGCATCTCCTTATTCACACTGTGGACCCCTTGTTTATCCTGAGCCTGCCTAGGGATTTCATTGTCAACTATATCTCTCTACCACGCCTACATTCTGCCTACCATAATGACAATGGACTGAACTTCTGAAACTGAAAGCAACCCCCAGTGAAATACTTTCTTTCATAAGAATTGCCTTGGTGGGATACCTCACTCAACCTTGATGCAGGGGGGAGGAACTTGGTCCTGCCACATTTTGATATGCCATACTTTGTTGACTCCCATGGGAGACCTTATCCTTTCTGAGAAGTGGATAGGTAAGGGGTAGATAGGAGTTTGGGGAGGGAACAGGAGGAGAGGCAAGAGGGTAAACTGTGGTTGGTATATAAAATAAATTTTAGAAAAAAAGGAAAAAAAAGTTGCCTTGATCATAGTATCACTTCACAGAAACAGAATAGTGATTAAGATAAAAGGGCTTGAAGGGAGGAAAAAAGGGAGAAATTATGTAATTATGTGATAATTTCAAAAATGAGAGAAAAATATCTTACAAAATAAAATAAAAATTAAATATGGAAAAAAAATCATCCCCAGTGTAACAACCAGGGGACAAAATCTCCAGCACTATAACCATTGGGTACATGAAGAATATCCAAAGCATAGTAAGTACTTCTAACACGGTTAATTAAAAATTGTTAGGTAATAAGAGTTGTTGTTTCCATTAATGCTTAACTTATTATTTCACTTTTTAAAATTTTGGCCAAAAATGCATTTTAAAATATAAATTCCCAAAGTGGGGATTTCTTTTTCCTTTATGGAACATGATTGAGATTCAAAAGAAGTTATTATGTAAAAATCCAAGAATGCTGGTATATTTTGATCATGTAATTTGAATTTTACAGTTAAATTTCTATGAAAAGATAAAAGCTTTTCACAAGAGATGATACCTCACTGGTACTAGTTTATGAATGAATGATACATAGATTAAAAGATGGAACATACAATATATCAGAAAGAAAATTTATCAAATATATTGAAGCTTTTCTATATCATTAGGCAAAAGATTTGCAAATATAATGAATCCAGGCTAGACCATCAAATATGATTTCTATTATGCAAAGTATAGAGTGATTCTCTGATGTTCTTGACTTATTTTATTCTCTTAGTAAACTTTAACTTGAAATCTACATATGCCAGATACAATGGTATATGCTAAAATTATAAAAGTTAAAGTGACAGAGGTGCTTCCTCCAATGGGTCCACATTTCAATACAGGAGCCAGACATAACAAGCAAATAATGAACAGGAGAGAAATGGATTTTCTTCCACATGATTGCACCACGTGAAGCCAGGTGCCACATGTAAGTAGAACCTAAGTAACAAAATGGTTTAGTTAAAGGGTTACATGTAACATAGAAGGTTCATACCAATAATTCACAGAAGAATTTCTACTAAGAGCAAGGATACAATGTTTCACCCTAAATGAGAGACCATAGATCCTGAATAGAATACATTTTGTTATGAATAAAATTCAGTGGAAAACTGGAATATAAATGTGATTTGTTCTGAATATTTTCTAATGCTTTCATTTCTCATTGTTAAATATTTTATTAATATCAGTTTTATGGAACATTAATTTTAGTTTACAAAGCAGAGTTGAAAGCCTGTGAAACACTAGGGTGTTTGAGCTGAACATTTTGTCATTATAAAAGTCATTGAGCTATTTGTGAACTTACACAACCTGATTACATTAAATGTATTCTAACTACCAAGCAATGCGCAACACATTATAGTAAAAAGAAAAATCAAAATTAAGTGTAATTCTTGTTAGCAGAGAGTTAACATCTTCCTTTAGGGGGTGAGGTGAGGGCTAAATAAACAATTATTAAACCTATAGTATGTTGTGAAAAACACAGTAAAATAAGTATTTAGGAGAAAATAAGGTATTTAATTTAATTAAAAGAATCTTTTCCTGGTAAAAGAGCCCTGGAAGTCAGAGCAGAAAAGGATGAGAGTTAACAAAGATAGGGTATCTGTGTGTTCAGAGAAAGGAGCATGGAACAAGTTAGGTCATTCCCAAGTGAAGAGGAACATCTTCAAAGCCTGAGAAGGAGAGATAATGGATTACTCACGGCCAGTCAGTCAATTTAAGGATTTCAGTGTTCACACTCAAAACCGTCAAAAGCCAGAAAGGGATTGGAAGCACAGAACACGGCAAGCCAACAATCTAACAGAACTTGAAGGATGAACTTTTATGGGTTAGAAAATCCAATTGCTGATACAGAAAATTTTTTGAATTGAGAACTAGCATAGCATAAAAAGAGGAACTTAGTGCAATTTAGGGGATCTTGGAACTCTTCTTTTGGTCACAGAGTGCCTGAACAGGATCTTGAAAAACAAGTAAATTTGATGAAGAGGAAAGAAGGTAGTCATTCAGGACAAATAGGCAACCTACATGCAGAAAAACAAACTTAAATAAATGTCACAGTGGGAGATACAGATTACAAAAATGTCAAAGAAAAGAAATGAAACTCTATGGATTATTCACTTATGGAGACATAGAAGGGCAAAATTAAAACCACAATATGCTCCATAAGCAATCATGAAAAGATTGAGCAGACAACTTTAATGATTCCTATTTTACATATGTTGTTCTTAAAATAATAGTAATAATATATTTTAAGGTGACCAAGAATGGATGAATGAATAAAATATATGATAGTTTTAAATATAATTGTGGTAGTTAGATTAGAGACATATCAAGATGTTAAACATAGTTGGATCAATAATGCAATTTGAAGGTAAGGAAATTATGAAAAATGGTTTATTTCTAGGCCACATAAATGTACAACAAATTCATTTAATTTTAAATAAGGAATATGCAAAAATTAGATGAAATATAATAATTTCAGATTTTATATTTCTGGAGTGACAATGTGAGGAGTTCGGAGAAATGTCTTCCCCAGAAGGGTATCTCTTACACAGGTCAAATTTAACAAAGCTAATCATTCACAGTCTCTGGAGATTGATGAAAAGGCCTACAACAATTGAAATTCAAACCACATTTGTGCAGCATCTACAGAACTTAGAAAGATGGATTAAATGAGCTGACACTCAAGCATCTATCTCCCAGAACTTGTGATGCATCCATCTCCCAGGAGTTTCCATCTTTTTCAAGTCCCTAAAGTGTAAGAGCTATTCTGGGTATATTTCATAGTCAATGGAAATCAGCAGGTCATCTTTCCATTGCTCCATGTAGACTACTGTATAATACCAACCCTATGGGTAACTCTTAGGCATCTAGGCTTCCAAAACAGATACTATTTAATTTCTTTTGTCTATGTATGCATGCTTATGCAAATTTGACACAGCATGCATGTAATGGTCAAAGGACAAAATGTGTAAGCTGGTTCTCTTTCCATCATGTGGTCCCAAATGTTGTTTGACCTTGCAGCAGATGCCTATTCCTTCTGAAAGACCTAAGCAGTTGAACCCAGACTTATAGATAAATGGAAAGAGAAAATGTAAGCTGAGATAGCT